GCAAGCTCACTCCTTAAGGCATTTCCAAATAATATATGCAAGACTTGACTCAGCTCTAATGCCCTCTTTTTGGTAAGACCTATGATGGTGATCCTATTTATAAAAGTAACAAATCTCCACCACCACCACCACAAGATTCCTGAAGCTGCTTTGTTTTCACTATACTTACTACCTAATGTACAACACACTACTTTTGTAAAGTCTCACATTCTAAAATGCAAAGCTGATATTTTCATTCCTTTTGTTCAAAAATGTATCCCCTACCCTCTGTCAATGGACAACATATAGTGGATGTTCAATACGTTGAATTAATGTCTGCACAAATGAATAAACATGTGGGACTTAAAGATACACAGCAAGTTATCAACAAAGGGTCAAAATGAGAACTGGTCTACACAACGGTGATGGTGGGGGGAGGGAGAGGTAGAGACTGAAAGACAGGAGCAGTGAGGATTTTGGAGAAGAGAGCAATGGGTGTGAATTAGAATTATGTGCAGGGAGAGCCATAATTAACAGTATTATAAATCACAGAAACTTAATTTGAGAAAACAACAAAATATTTTTTTAAAGAATAAATTAAGTAGCTACTTGGTTAAAAAAGAAAAGCAGGGGCTGGAGCTATAGCACAGAGGGTAGGGCATTTGCCTTGCATGCGGCCGACCGGAGTTCGATTCTCAGCATCCCAGATGGTCTCCCAAGCACCACCAGGAGTAATTCCTGAGTGTAAAGCCAGGATTAACCGCTGAGCATCACCGGGTATGACCCAAAAAAAAAAAAAAAAGCAGACAATTATTTATAATTGATCAACACTCCTTAAAACTTATTTAAGCAGCAGGTAAGGCCTTGCATACTGCCCAGTGGGTTTTGATCTCAAGCACCATATATGGAAATGCAAGCTTACCAGGAGTGATTCCTGAGAACAGCCAGGTGTGGCTCCAAAACAAATGAAAAACATAAGAACATCAAAAACAATACTTCTTTACTTCTGAATTCCCTGGCTTTCTGCTTAAATATCTGTAGACTAAATTATGGGATCTGATGAACTTCAATCACAATAGCAAAGTGGGTAGGGTGTTTGCCTTGCACGCAGCCAACCTGGCCAACCCAGGTTCGATTCCTCTGCCCCTCTCGGAGAGCCTGGCAAGCTGAGAGCAAAGCCTGGCAAGCTACCCGTGACTTATTTGAGATACCAAACACAGTAACAAGTGTCACAATAAAGACTTACTGGGCCCACTCGAGCAAATCGATGAACAACAGGAGGACAGTGACAGTGACACATGTATAAATATATACGTGTGTATATGTATACAGGCTGGAGCGATAGCACAACGGGTAGGGCGTTTGCCTTGCAAGCGGCCAACATGGCCGACCTGAGTTCGATTCCTCCGCCCCTCTCAGAGAGCCCAGCAAGCTACCGAGAGTATCTCGCCTGCATGGCAAAGCCTGGCAAGCTACCCGTGACATGTTCGATATGTCAAACACAGTAACAACTGTCAAAATGGACATGTTACTGAGCCCACTTGAGCAAATCGATGAACAACAGGAGGACAGTGACAGCGACAGTATACGTATATATATTTATATATACACATATATAAATACATGTTTTTATATATAAATATATTTTCCTTAAGATTCATAAAGGTGAGAATTTATCATATACATCAAAAACTTATCTGTTCAAATGCATAAAAAAATAAATAGTACAAGCTTTGCCATTAAATAACCCATAAAGTTTTACCTTTGGTAAAGAAACTTTCCAAATGCCTCACTTAAAATATTCATTAACTAGTGAGGACCACTGAAAAACTGCTTAAAGTTTCTCAACTAACCATAGAACAAGTCTTTAGAAATTAAAAATGTCTTTCACTTTACATACAAGTGGTACAGCATGGAAAGTATCATGCTAAGCGAAATGAGTCAGAAAGAGAGGGATAGACATAGAAAGATTGCATTCATCTGGGGGATATAAAATAACAAAATATGAGATTAATACCCAAGAATAGCTGAGATTAGCACCAGGAGGATTACTCCATAGCTTAGAGGCCAGCCGGGTGTTCTATGGGAAAGGACAGCTCGGATAGAGAGGGGAGCACCAAATAAAGGGTGTCTGGAGGATCCTCCCAGGAGGGGAGAGGCATGTTGAAAGTAGACTATGGACTGACCATGTTTGTCACTCAATGCCTCTTTTGCAGACCACAACACCCAAAAGAATAGAGAGAACAAAAGGGAATGCCCTGCCACAGAGGCAGGGTGGGATGAGCGGGATGGGGGTGGGAGGATATTACCCATGGTGGTGGAAATGGGCACTGGTGGAGGGATGGGTGTTTGATCATTGTACAGTCGAGACCCAAGCACAAAAATTTGTGGATCTACAACTGTACCTCATGCTGTTTCACTAATAATAAAAAAAAATAATAATCACGACCACCCTGTTGTTCTTCGATTGCCTCAAGCAGGTGCCAGTAACGTCTTCTTTGTCCTAGCCCTGAGATTTTTTTTAAAAGTGCCATATTCAAGGCTTTTTTCAGGGTTAGGAGAATGAACCCATCATTGTTACTGGTATTTGGCATATTGGGTATACCACGGGGAGTTTGCCAGACTCTGTCGTGTGGGCAGGTTACATTTGGTAACCTGCCAGTTTGTCCAAAGTAAGAATGAGATAATAAGATATAAAAAAATTAAAAAATTAAAAATAAAAAAATAAAAAATAAAAATAAAAATGTCTTTCACAAGAACAATAGGCAGGGGGTCAGATGTTTGCCTTGCACTCAGTCGACCAGGGTTCGATCCCCGGCATCCCATATGGTCCCCCAGCACTGTCAGTAACCCATGAGCATTGCTAAGGTGTGGTTCAAAATGACAAAAAAGAAAAGGAAAAAAAAATAAAAGAAAAACAGAAAATAAGATGGAAAGGGAACATATTCTCTTTACTTCAATTTTAAGAGCAAATAAACTATTTTAAGGAACAGCTTAACCTAGAATTTTCAATGTATTTTTATATCTATGAATCAGCACCAGTCTCTGGATTTTGACCCTTTTAACCCTGTGGACCAACAGTTAAAATCCACTGATTTAAACTAGTATCACTTTACTCTATCTCACTGTTATAGCACCACCTGGTGTTTATCATGCATAAATGCAATAAGGGCAAGCAAGTAGTGCAAAAATCTTCCATTACTTTATTTAAAGAAAAATGTTTAGGGGACTTTTCCACTCTGAAGAAGCCCATGTTCTCTCTAAAACATACATTTCTTGCCTCCACTTTTTCTTCCACTCTGTAAAAGCCCATGGTCTCAATTAAACACGTTTTCCTCTTTTGCTCCTATCACTGTAGCACTGTAGCACTGTCCTCCCATTGTTCATCAATTTGCTCAAGTGGGCACCAGTAACGTCTCACAACAAATTGTGAGACTTGTTACTACTTTTGGCATATCGAATACATCAGGGGTAGCTTGCCAGGCTTTGCCGTGGGGGTGAGATACTCTCGCTAGCTTCCCGGAACACCTAAGTAAATTTTTTTTTAATTTCTATTCTGTAAAATAACTAAATTTTTTAAAATTTAAATAAAAAATGTTTAGGGACCTACACAAAATAATGTTAAGTAGGTTAGAGTGAATAATGGCGCAAATAATAAGTTTATGGAAGTGTAGTCATAAAAATCATGAAATAAGTACTGTAGCACTGTCCTCTCGTTCATTGATTTGCTCGAGCGGACCAGTAATGTCTCCATTGTGAGACTTGTTGTTACTGTGTTTGGCATATCGAATACATCACAGGTAGCTTGCCAGGCTTTGCCGTGCGGGCGAGATACTCTCAGTAGCTTGCAGGGCTCTCCAAGAGGGGCAGAGGAATCGAACCCGGCTCGGCCGGGCCAGCAGCTTGCAAGGCAAACGCCCTACCGCTATGCTATAGCCCCAGCCCAAAAATAAGTATCATGAAATAAGTTTTGCATTAGAAAAATAAACCATTCTTTAAATCTTTCAAACAAAAACTCTTCAAGACAAAGAGAACAATGATGAAAACTAAAATGTTGTCATATGAAAGGAGATATACATCCACCAACTGCCGTGTAACCCCATCAACGGCCATCCAGAGACTATAAAACCAACCTCCCTGGCAGGCTACTGAGAATATCATACCCACCTATATGCCTGACTAGGAACACCTGTAAAGGTGATTTGAGGCTGCCCCAAAAGCCTCCATCCATCTTGGAGAGCCCAGCAAGCTACTGAGAGTAGGCCGCCCACACGGCAGAGCCTGACAAGCTAACCGTGGCGCACTCGATATGTCAAATACAGTAACAATGAATGGTCCTCATTCCCCTGACACTGAAGGAGCCCACAATATGTCATCGGGTTACACTTGCACTTGACAGGTACGAATGGAGACATACTGGGCTGGCTCAAGCAAATTGAAGAACAATGGGGTGACAGTGATAGTGATGAAGGGAGAAAAAACTAGAAAGATATAGCCTTGCTTGGTAACAGACTACCTTAAAACTGCAGAACTGATAAAAAGTATATTGCTAAATATGAGCTTAAATATTAATTCCAAGGAGAATTTAATTAAATTCCTAATTGAAAGTCTTCTTTTTTTGTTGTTTTGTTTTTTGGGCCACACCCAGTGATGCACAGGGGTTACTCCTGGTTCTGCATTTAGGAATTACTCTTGGTGGTGCTCAAGGGACCATATGGGGTGCTGGGAATTGAACCCGGGTCGGCCGCATGCAAGGCAAACACCCTACCCACTGTGCTATCACTCCAGTCCCCCTAATTGAAAGTCTTCTTAATGTAAACCCAAACCTTAACCCTTATATACAGCATCCTAATGATAGCTGATTAAATTGGAATGCCCACTAAATGCCACATATCTTTCATTACACTAGCAAAGTTACATGCATTTTATGAATTTTTAGATTACTCACTGTTTTGTAACAAAATTTCTTTATTGGTTAAGGCTTCTGCCCTCTGTCTATAAGGACACTAAATGATACTTACACCAGGATAGGCTTTCCTGATATTCTAGGATGGCGGAGTACTTCTGACATTGTCTCTTTTGTCTCCTCCATTCTCTCTTCATCACTGGAATCCACAACGAATATTACCCCATATGATTCAGCATAGTAATTCTTCCAGATGCCTCGAATTCTTTTTCCACCTCCCAAGTCAAATATGGTGACTTGAAACTTCCCTTGTCTAAGGTCAATTCTGGAAAATCCAACGGTAGGTGCTACATCTTCAGGATGTTCTGTTTCAAAGGATATATTTCTTAAATTAGAATAAGTGAAAAACCTTAACTTTGAAACTTAAGAGCCGTAAAAATTATTTATCACACTTTAGTACAAAATAGAAAATTTATCATTTTTCTACAAAATAAGCATTACATCTAAGGATATTGGATTGGTGGAAGGTTAGATGCCATTGAGGTTCTAGTAAGAATTTATGCTTCAGATAGCTGGAAATTTCTTGGCTGTTTGTTTTTCATTTTTACTGACACAACCCCAGCACCCTGAGTAATATATATCATATAACAATTAATTAGAATCTGTAAAAAAGAATAAATTAATGTACTTTTTTACCTTTAAGGCTATTTAATCCCTTCAAGTTACAAAAATAAAATATTCAGTCCTTTGAAACAACAGACATCCCCAAGAACTGTTACAATTTCTATGGAATTATTTTTTAAAATGAGCATTTAAATAGGAAGAGATTACAGAAGAACCAAAGAATAAGAGTAAGACCACTCTTTTTTTAATTAGCTAAATTAAAACTATGATTGAAATAAAGAGCCTTGAAGGTAGCTTGAAAACACAAAAAATAGATTTTATCATTTCTAGAGGAAAACATTTTGGATGTTCCTGTAAATTTACAATAGAAATTTTCATTTGGGACTTCTGTATCTGACGATATAACAAAGGTAGAAGATTGAATGATAACTACCAAGATATAATGAATAATTATGAGTTCAAAAAAGATTTGAATTGGGAGGTAGGACTGTACTTTAAAGAAAAGGAGGTTTTCACTCAGTAGAAGAGGGATCAAAATCCAAGTATTGAGAATGATAAATGGACGACAATGTAAACAAGCAGAACTGTTATAAGGGAGTTTCAAGAGAAACAGATGAGGGCCACATTCAGAGAGGCCAAATTGAGATCCATCATTCCAGAAGCCTGTGGCCCAAAGAAGAACATGGGTCTCAATCCCAGTCAAGGAAGAGTTTATAAAAAGGAAAAACCCACATCCTAATTAGACAATGATACAATGGAAAAAGGGCTGTGGTCAGCAAAAGCAAGTTACAGAAGCAAAATAAGCTATTAATGGTTAAGTGAGGAGCTATAGTTATAGAGGAAGAATTCGGGCTGGGGCTGTTGATTCCTGGACCTGACTGCTTTGTTACGGAGCTGCACCTGACTCTTGGGACACTGATTGAGAATCACCTTCCTGCTGACAGGCTAGGAGGGAAATTAAAGTGAAGTCCCTGTGTCAGGACCCCTTAGCTCTAAATAATGTAGTGGGAGCAAACCCAGAAGAATTTGACTAAAGAACATAACAGATCATGGGAATGCAATCTATTTCAATACATCAGTGATAGAATCAAGGCCATTACTATAATGCCTTATGAAGATTCACCCTGGAATAGTCTCTAGAATTGAATGAAAACATGATTTTTCAAAGAAGTATTCAAAGACAGAGAAATGGAAGGGAAGAACTCATGAAAGATTAACAGAACCTGGTGACACAATGATTGTTGAGAAAAAAGTTCAAACCAAACCCATCACTTTTTTTTTTAACTTTTTGGGTCACACCAGAAGATGCACAGGTCACACCAGGAGATGCACTGGCTCTGCACTCAGGAATCACCCCTAGCGGTGCTCAGGAGACCATATGAAATGCTGGGAATCGAACCTGGGTTGGCTGCATGCAAGGCAAATGCCCTACCCACTGTGCTATTGCTCCAGCCCCCCAAGCCCATTACTTTCATTCCTTCTTTATCACTGGAATTCACAACCAAATTTACCCCACTGAACTTAGTTTTCAGCAATACAGCGTCAACAGAGTTCCTGTTATTATATTTGACATAAATGACAAGCAGCTTTTAAAATTTTCAATAAAATTTAGTTCCTTAATTGCACTAGTTATATTTGAAGTGCTGAAAATCCACATGTGATTACTGTGCAGTCCACCCTAGCAGGCAGAGTAAATATAGAACATTTTCATCATTGCAGAAAGTTTTATTGAATAATTTTTACCTAGACAGTCTAATCATTCTCATATTTACAAAATATTTAATATTGTGTGAAAGTAGATTTCAAAGACATTTGATGCTAGGGTTAGGAGTGACTGAGAAACAGACTTAAGCATTCAAGAGACAGAGTACAAGTGACTTATCTCCCTATAAAGTTATCAGTGAGATTACCAAGTCACCCTTTTGTAAATCACACTTCTGTACCTGGCCAATTTCAAATTACCAATTTTAAAACTCTGAAGTTTGAACCCACAATTCAGAAGAGATGTGCATAACTGGTCTCAGTAACTAATGCAAGCTAGCAGGAAGAGACTTCAGAAGACGACTGGTTACCAGTCAGTGGTATTTGGAAAGAAATAATGAGGGGAGGGGAGGGGAGGGGAGGGGAGGGGAAGGGAGGGGAGGGAAGGGAAGGGAAGGGAAGGGAAGGGAAGGGAAGGATGACTTTCCTCTGCCCTTTACCTCTTCATTCCAAGAGCATGATCATCTCAGACCATATATGTAAGAGAGAACACGAGGTATGGCAAAGCAAATAAGAGAAGAAACTTGAGTCCTCAATACCAAGGACCCGGTATGTCAGTTCTGGGCTATTTCTCCCTGTACTATTTGAGATTGAAATAAACCTGCTTTATTCTATCAACAAAATCTATGTTGTTAATCTATTGTCATTTTCGTATTAAAGCAAACTGAAGTCACTGTTATTTTGTTAGAACAAATGAAGTTTCATTTGATTCAGCTAACGCAATCACTTGGCAGCCATACAAAAGTTGATGAAAGAAGTAAAGTCCAGGGGCTAGAGCAATAAATAGCACAGTGGGTAGGGCATGTGCCTTGCAAGCAGCCAACCCGGGTTCAATTCCCAGCATCCCATATGGTCCCCTGAGCACCGCCAGGGGTGATTCCTGAGTACAGAACCAGAAGTAACCCCTGTGCATCACCGGGTGTGCCCAAAAAGAAAAAAAAGAAATCAATCACAGTAATATGCTGAAGGATAAAACAAAACTATTTTCAGTCCTCAAAACTGAATAAAGCTGAGACCTTTTTATTCATGATGTGATACTGTGATTATTATCAAGACTCAGGAAAGGAACTGATGGACATGCAGTGATAGAAAATAGAAGACAAGAAAAATGTTCCAAGTCCAAGCAACATAATTGATGGTCTAATATGCAGATCCTGAGGTGTCTGCTTCTTTGTTATGGCTTCAAAGGAATACAAGAAAGATCTTTAAATGATATGATCCATCACAATGAATACATTTGACCTTTTGCAAAACCATGAAGACAATAGTATTTCATAAATTTTCTTAAGGTAAAATTTAATGTCTAGCAAACATTCAGTGAAATATGTCTAAACTCATTTGTTACATGTTGCCCATGATTGCTTTCATAGTAATATGTATGAAGCATGTATATGGACAGAGACTATGATCCTCCAAGCCTAAAATACTTACTAAATTTACAAAACAAAAGGTTTTGCAAAACTCTCATTTAGAGGACAGCAGCTGTGCCTTTGCGCTGATGTGAAGTAGGATGCGAGATAACAAATGGTTTCAGAAGAATGCACAGGCAATAATACACGCATCTTATTTACATAGTAGAATTAATTTGGTTTCATGAAATGCTATTTTTCAACAGCAAGTTCTGCAAAGTATTCATTTATTTTTGTCATGAAATTCCATAAATAAAAGCTTCCAACTTCTGGATATTTACTTAATCTTGTAACATTCATTTTCAGGAATAAATTTAAATCATGTTTTTCCCAACCCCTACCCTTAGATGAATTATGCTTAATTATGAATTACATTTATGCTATTTGTTTGTATAAAACATTAAACTAAAATGACTAAAATATCAGATCCAATGTAATATATTATCAAAGGCAGAAAGTCCTTTAATGGCACTGAGGCTTTAAAATCTTTAACATTACATTACATTACTTAACATTACATTATATTGCACTACATTAAACGACAGTTAAATAAATACAAACACTGGCCAAGTATATTTCTACCTCCTTTTCATCTAACTGTAGTAGCTATGTCACCAAATTCTTATCAAAAGAAGGTTAACAAAAGAAGGCCACTCTCTAGGGAGGGATATGCCTTCTTTTCTTTTTCCCCTTCTTGTCTTCCGACTGTCCTCCCAAGTGGATGATATCCCTGCCCACCTGGGGAAGGGAGGGAGGGAGGAATCAGCAGCCCCAGCTGCAACTCGGAGGTACTTTCTGTACTGCCACAAAAGGCTGATGTGCAGGGGGCACTGAGTAACACTTTCCTGAAAAGGGAGTAGGTAAGCCAGGTAAGTTTGGGACTCTCTGGTATAAAAGATAGAAGGGTTTTGAAGATGTGAAAAAAATTTCAAGGTGCACCTGCATCTCTACTTTTATTCAAATCAAACATGGCTGCATTAACACAATATATTTACAATATAAGTCACAGGATACAAAGAATGTAAAGTAGTGGGCTGCACACTCTCTGCTGTCCCCACTCAATATACAATGAAGTGACAAATAACCCAAAATAATTTAATCATTATTACTTTTGTCTTACCTCCTTGGATTCCCTTTGCCGTGGCTGTTTTACCAGCATTATCAAGTCCCACCATCACAAGTGTCACCTTTCTTAAAAGACAGAAATTTAGAAATTATTTTCTCAGTTAATCCTGTATTAGGAGAAATAGTAAATGCAAATGTATTCATCCTAGCAACATTAATGGACAAGATAATTTTCAAAGCCAGGGAGTACAATGATGAATAAAATATAGAGACAAAAAGCAAATTTCATAAAAATACCTCTAAGGAGTCATCGTTTGCCCTCTAATCAAGTAAGGGGGAATTACATACCAGATACTCCAAAGAAAAGAGAAATCAGGGAAATAAGAGAGAAAAGGAGGGAGCTAGAAAGATATTAACATGTGAATTACTTATCATGGCTAAAGACTCAATTTTCCAGCAAAGTAAATTCTATGATTAATCTCAAGTCTGCTTTGTTCTTGTTAAATTACATAAGAATCCTTGCTTAGGTATAAAGAGACTTAGTATGCTCAACTTTTTCCATGCAGTATCTTATCAAGCATAAGCCTTAAATAGAGTACAGTATTATAGTAACTTAAGTAATTTAAGTAAGCTAACAGATTTTGAAGGGGGTTCCTATAATTATTTAAAAGGTCAAGTGTTTATAATAATATACACTTTAGGGAAAAAAGACAATCCAGTTCAAGTTTTCAATTAAACATAAACCCAGATTTGTAGAACATAACACAATGATTCAGTTACAAACTCAGAATCAAACCCCTAATTCACTCCTAGGGACTTCTTAAAACAGATACATGTATAAAGGAACCTATTTATTATAATGATCCTATTAATTTGGCATCTCAGTGTATCTCAAAAGCTCTTTTCTGTTCTCAGGGCTTATAAAGGTGAGACACTACACTGGCACCATAAATTTTGGGAATATAAAGATAAATCATAGCCCAGGTGATAAGTTAAAAACTTAAATACAAGGGGATATGGTGCTACCAGCAGGTCAATCTATACCTGTGAAGTGAGTGCATCAGCAGCCTGATGGCGCCTTCAGACTTCCAGATACCCCAAAATTGCTGCTGTGCCTCTGGCCAGACCCCAAAAAGTTGGGGTAAAATTGACCAAGAAAGTAAATGGCCAAAAGTTAGGTATGTGGGAAACACACCCACAAACTACCTCTGGCTCAGCTATATAATTGGAGAAAAGGCCTCTCTGGTTTCTGATTAAATTGCATAACAGCCACGATCCCAGAGACTTAGAGACAAATCTCGGAATCCAGCGGCTTTTGGTAGAGATGCATCCGGTCCCTGCAACACTGGAGTACCCAGGGGGTAAATGGTGTTGTCCCTTCGCCCGCTCCCCTTTGGCGGTTTGGTGGCCGCCATCTTCCAGAGGCCAATGGACAGTCAGGTTTGGGCCCGAAGTGACGAGACATGCAGGGCCTCAGGGGATGGGGGTGGAGCTGGCCCTTTCCTCCCCACCCCAATGAGACCCCGAGTCACTGCCCACACACAGCCTCTCAGGGCCTCAAGGATGGGGGTGGAACCAGCCCTTTTCTTTCCGCCCCAACGAGACCCTGAGTTGCAGCCCACAAACGGCCTCTCTGGCTCCTGATCAAGCTGCTTAACGACCATGATCCAAGAGAGTCAGGAACAAATCTCGGAACCCAGCAGGTTTTGGCAGAAATCCCTCCAGATTTAATTGTTAAAATTTCAGAATTCCAAACTCACACGTCCACTACTGCAGCCAATCATATGTTATTCACAACCAGGAATAGAAAAAAAAAAAACTCTCTACTGTCTTCTGTTGCCTTTTTGGCAGATCTGAGTGTTGGGGTAAAATCCCAAATAATAATGGTGGGTCTGGTGTCAAAATATTGAAAGTAATCAAAGTAGAGAGAAAGTAATGGGGTAATCATCTACCCCACAGGTAGGGGGAGGGTGTGGGAGGGGGAGTATACTGAGGGCTTTGGTGTTAGAAAATGGGCACTGGTGAAGGGATGGGTGTCTCATTGTATGACCGAGACTTAACTCAAAAGCTTTGTAACTACTCTCACAGTGATTCTGTCACTGTCACTGTCCTCTTGTTGCTCATCCATTTGCTTGAGCGGGCCCAGTAACATCTCCATTGTGACACTTGTTACAGTGGTTGGCAAATTGATTATGTCATGGGTAGCTTTCCAGGCTTTGCCATGCAGGCGAGATACTCTCTGTAGCTTGCCGGGCTCTCCGAGAGGGGTGGAGGTATCTAACCTGGGTCAGCCAGATGGGCAGCATGCAAGACAAATGCCCTACCCGCTATGCTATCACTCCAACCCAGTGATTCAATAAATAAAATTATAAAAAAGGAAAAAAAAAAACTTAAGTACAGGCTCCAGGGTTTACATCAAGCAGTCAATCCTCATTGCCAATCAATCTAAGGGAAACTTAAACACAGATCTTAGATGGCAAAAAAGATTATTTTTGGACTGGACAGATAGTAAAGCATTGAGGGTGCTTGCCTTATATGAAACAGACCAAGATTTAATCCCCAGCATCCCATATGGTCCTGAGGGAAATACTTTTCCTCTTCCTTCTATTTTCCAATACACTTTTCTACTTTCTAAAAACAACAACAATAACAAATAAAGTCAATCACAATTAGGCGCATATCCAGACCCTGTGCCGTTCAGGTGATGGTGGCATCAACAGAAATGTTTGAAATCCCAAGAGATCATGACTTTAAGAAACTGAGAGTTCTTGAGATCAAGATCAAACTAACTGTTATAGGCAAGGATATCTTATGTGCATTTTCAGCTACAAAAAATACACATTTAGGAGCTGGAGTGATAGCACAGCGGGTAGGGCGTTTGCCTTGCACACGGCTGACCTGGGTTTGATCCCCGGCATCCCATATGGTCCCCCAAGCACCGCCAGGAATAATTCCTGAGTGCAGAGTCAGGAATAATCCCTAAGCATAGCTGGGTGTGACCCAAAAAGAAAATAAAAACATTTATTTCTCAAGGAAGTTGCCAAGTATAATTTAATACAAAATAATAACTACAAAATAATTTCTGAAACAAAATATCATAAATGTCTCTCCAAAACAAATGCATAATGTAGCATTTTAAATAACATCTAGATAATTCAAGTCACTACAAAATGAATAAGACTAAAATAGTATCAATGTTAAATCAATTGTTCTCTATTTAAATTTCAGTATCTACACTGTTTTCAAACAACCTCAGCCAAAAGAAGTTTTCTTTTGAGAACAAATTCTCATTTTCTACTTGTTTCCACAATTTATTCTGTATTGATTAATTACCCATCATCATACATAATAAACATCATCCACAATTACTATCCCCATAAATTGTGTGGCCTTACAACAAAGCAGGTTTTAGAGAAGCAATTATGTGTAATAACTTGTAAAGAGAAATTGTAAGTAGCCATAGAAAGAAATAGCGGGCAACTGTATTCAGATATCAAGGAAGACTATTCCACATTTATACAAAAAATGGGGACAGGAGTTCCTGGGAGCATCATGTCTTTCAAAGAAAAAATCTCAAATGTACCTTTGCAAGGAAAAGGGCATCTCATTCTCTACTACACAGGTAACCACTCCCTCACCCCCACTCCACACCGCCCTGTTCAAGGCAGAATATCAGTAAGGAAATGTTTAAAAGCTTGTTCATAATTACTACATTTTTGAAACATTAGAGCTAGGTAAAAAGGATGTTCACTATTACCTTGAAAATTTTGCTAATCTCAGAAAGGGAAAAGACCAAGTCCCTGCCCTAGCAAAGCACCTGCAGCCACATTCACAGCCCAAAACAGCTACCACCATGCCTCCAGCCTGAATGTCCAGTTAAATTTTCTGGATTTTCTGGAGCATGCAGCCAAACTGAACATGTTCAAACGTTACTATATTAGCTTCCCAATAGCAGCAGACTAGATTGGATAGGAATATAACAGAAGCCAGCCAATCTTGACTAACAAAAACAACACAGAAGGCTTAACTTGCAACAACAGATTAGTAAACCCTCAGACAAGGAATCAATGCCTCCATGGTGAGTTACAATTTTCACAAATCTTCCTTACAAATATTGTTTACTCATTTATTAGCCATTTAGTGGGAGCAAGCAACATACAATAAATTATTGTGGGCCTACTATGGGGGCAGGCTTGAAGGGTGGTTGGGAAAGTGGAAAGGTGACAATGGTAGTGGAATTGTTGTTGGAATACTGAATGCCTGTAATGAATGCATTATGAATAACTGTAAATCACAGAGTTTAAACAGAGAGGGAATTTTTTTTGCTAATATCTTTAATAAGATATTAAATTCAGGGGCTGGAAAGGTAGTACCAGCTGGTAGGTAGGGTACGGTGCTTGCCATGCATGCAACTGGCCAGGCTTTGATCCCCACCACCCTATATGGTTAAGCCCTGTCAGGAGAGATCCCTGAGTACAGATCCCTGAATACAGAGCAAGTAAGTAAGTAAGCCCTAAACACCTCCAAGTATGACCCAAAACAAAAGCCAGAGGGGGAAAAAGTTTAAATTAAAACAAATAAAGTCATTCAAGTCTGAGAATCACATACGGAAAACTATAATCACTCAGAGAAGGCACAAAATAAGCCTCTTTGGATTTTCATTTTATTTTACTACTTGCAAGTGGTTAATTTTAAGATCATTATGTCATATGCTTGAAAACACGGCCTTAATTAAAAATTTGCAGTAATTAAAGACTTAATGAAAAAACATAACATTAGCAGTACAAATAAAAGCCACAGCATGAATTACAACACTTAATAACTTTTATGCATTAAATTTATACTTTCAGAATAAAATGGGTTTAACCAATTACCAGAGACTCAAAGTTCCATGCAATACCTGAAATAGTGAAATTCATCATTTATCTCATCTATGTTAAAATGCACATCTCTTTAAAGCATTTTTAAAATGAGGTCAGTTATTGGAGCCTGAGAGATAGTACAACAGAAGGGCACTTGCCTTGTACACAGCTGACCTGGGTTTGATTTCAGCATCCCATACAGTCCCACGAGCACTGCCAGGAGTAATTCCTGAGTGCAGAACAAGGACGAACCCCTGAGCACTC